TAAAAATAATAATAATCAGGTGATAAATTATAAAAATTAAGAAAAAGGGAATTTCGCATAATCAAAGAAAGATTATCGAATTAGAGAAATTTATGTTACTACGGTAACAGTATAAATAATCTTATATTATATATATTTAACAAATTGCTAATAACTTTATATTATATTGTATTAAGCAAATTATTATTATTGACTTTAAGCTTTAAATTATATTGTATTGAACAAATTATTATTATTAAATTATTGAGTTTTATATTATATTATACTGGACAAATCACTATATTAAAATTGAATATTATGTATTTTAATTTTTATTATTTGAATTTTTGATTATAACAAATATTTCTTATTTGTGAGAAGAACAAAATGAAAGAATCTTTGTTATTATTACTAATTATATTATTTTAGCTCTGGAAAGCTTTACATAAATACAGAAAATTAGTCTTTTAACTCTACTCTTCCATATTGTTACTATTTTAATATGACTTTAGGTTCTGTCATGAGAATACACATGATAGAGTTAGATGGGAGAGTTAATGTATTAAATAACTTTAAGTTGGAAGAGTTTATTAAGTTATCTAAAGATAGATAATGTATATTTAACTTTTTATTTAAATAATACTTTGTCAACAAAACAAAGTTACCAGATATCTATTTTTATTAATTACTTGAGCACATGCTTCTTATACAAGTATTTATTTCTAATTCAATACTAATTATATTAATAATATTAAATATAATAATTAAATTATTAATTTGAAATAGGTAACTCCAAAAAAATTTCTGAATGTAAAATATTTTCAAATACTTGGTTATAAGATAACCAAAAGAATTATATAGAAGAAGTTAAATAATAATATTATTTATATTTTAAATTCTATTAGTTTTATATCTAATTGCAGAAAGTAATATTTTAAATTATAGTAGTAATAATAATAAATATATTATAACAATCATATAAAACAAAACCTAAATAAAAAATTGAGTTTTAGTATAGGTAAAATTTAGCTAACCAATACTAATTCTCTTTATTATTAATTTTTTAATATTAATATCTTTTTATTATTATTATTTATTGCAAAATAAATTTTACTTGGATTAATATATTAATATAATACTAATTATAACTTTTGAGTTATTAACTCTCTTGTATACAAATTAAGAAAATAGTATTTGTTACTAATATATTTTCTTTAATATTTAGCTAAAAGAATTTATTTTATAATAAATAAGGATATCAAATTATTGTATTTATTATAATAATTAATTTATTAAGAGATTATTTGCAATAAAATATGAGCTAGATTAAATTTTTGATAGTTAAAGGATTACTTTAACTGTTTTAAAGACTTTCTGTGATAATTTGAAAATAAATCAATTGCACAAGTAAAAAGAGGTGGCACACTAGTGATTTTTTGGTGAATCCCTGTGAAAATTCCGGATTTCTTAGTAATTACTTAATATATTAATAATTTATTGAATTTGGATTGATATCATATAACGTTAATAAATTCGGGATTTCTTCTAGGTGTTCACCAAAAAAACTGTTAGTGTACTACCCCTTTCTTATCTGTGTTAAATATTCAAGAATTTTAATTGCACTATGTGAATATCATAATTCAACCATATTACTCACTTTCGATATAGTGTAACTCTTGATATAATGAAAAATTTTTTTAAATCATTACTAAACTTCAACTCGATATAGTGAAGTGAAGTGATATAATATACTCTCGTTATAAGCTATAGTGAATAATTTTTCTTTACCCTGATATCTTATTATAGCGAAAGTGTTGTGTTAATAAGTAATTCTCACATAGTTCAAATTTAGATATTATCCAATGTGCTATATTATCTAAATAAAATAAATATGCAAATAATATATATTTATGTTAGATATTTTGTACTTTATAAGTTGATCTGTAAATTTATCATATGCTAAAAAATGAGCGTCTTGATATAATATCAATTTAATATCTGTATCATTAATAAGATTCAAAATTATATAGTACCAACTATAATTCTCATTACACTTTTATGTAAAGCTTCTTGTTTGGCAAGATGATATGGCTTAGGAGTAAATGCATCTTCAATAAATTATTAATCAGAAGTAATTTTTTAATTCTTCAATTTGTCAAATGACCAGAGGCGACAAGAATCAATATTACCTCTATTTCTGATTCAATATGTATTTATGAACTTTTATAATTTAGAACATTCGCGTGCTCTTGTTATAGTCTCTACCGTTATGCTTAGGGATAGGAATCGATTATCAACCCAGAATCGATTCTAAAGTCGATTAATAAGTTCGATTAATCGATTTATTATATCATTAGAAAAAATTTGTATAATTCTCAGTTTCTTTTAATAAACATAATTTGTTCTACCAAATGGCTATTTAGTCGATTTCTTTCAGGTGTAATTATGTTTTCTACATCCGAAAATGGACATTCAGATGGAACTGATGTGGCAGGAATTGTCAAATATTTACGTGCAAGTTGTGAAAGAATTGGGTATAGGGATAGGAATCGATCCTCAACCAAAATCAATTCTCGAGCACAGATTACTTTTGGCATTAGTATCACTTTCAGAGCTATATTGGTAATAGTTTCTTGGTTATTATCAATTTACCATTGTTGTTGAATGACAGAGTAGTTTGTCATGTGTTATAAAATTTCCAATTATTTACACGATTCATGCATTTCATTATCGATTTTGTCCTTAAACTCGATTCTCAAATTTAATCGATTATCAACTTTAACCAATTCTTAAATTTTAATCGATTTCCAAATTTCAATCGATTTTATCCCTAGTTCTAAAATGCAAAACATAAAAGAAAGCGGACCTAAAAAACTGAGCATGCACGCAGAATTATTCGAGAAACGATTTTATTTCGATAATCGATTCTCAAGCCTCAGAATCGATTTTTGAATTAATTTTCAATTATTAATCGATTTGCAAATTATATCCATTCTGATTTGATTATTTTCATCATGATGGCTATAAACAAATTTGCAGGTTTGTATATATTGATGATTTTTGTTATACAATTTATGCACTCTCGATTTTATATACGAACTTAAATTAATCATATCTCTAAGTAAAAAGATAATAAAAACCAACTCAGATAATAAAGTAAAAACATGTAAGATGGAAAAAACCAACTCCGATAATAAAGTAAAAACATGTAAGATGGAAAAGAATATATACTCTGAACTTCCGTGAGATTACTTTTCTAAAATGATCTATGTGGTAGCAAACAGCGATAAAATTTTAAGTCTCAACTTAATTAAAAATTGCTCTAAAATTTCTATATTCTAATAAACTAATGGTTAGGTAATTAGAAAAAAATGATTTATGCATGTATTTTTTATTATTATTGTCATTAGAAACACCTTTCCTTATCACATATACTAAGATTTCATTGTTCCATTCTCTGCTGATTTCAAATATCACTCAAATACATTTTAGGTATCGATTCTGTTTGATAACAAAAACCAAGATGGCTTTGATAACCTGTAGCTATTTTAGATGCTTTTGCTCATTTTTTTGTGTTCCAATTCCATTTTAATAATACCAACCAAAATATTTTCCACCTAAAGGATTTCTACACTCTATTTCAACAAATCAAGCTAATACGGTCCACCTGCGTTTCCACATTCTAATGGCTTCATATACCACTCGAATGCTTTTCTCTCATCTTTTTGTGTTCCAATTCCATTTTGATAACAAAAACCTAGGTCACATTGTCCAGCTGTGTCTTCACCTTCTGCTGATTTCTTATACCACTCAAATGCTTTTCTCTCATCTTTTTGTGTTCCAATTCCATTTGATAACAAATACCTAGATTACGTTGTCCAGCTGCGTATCCGCCTTCTGTTGATTTCTTATACCACTCAAATGCTTTTCTCTCATCTTTTTGTGTTCCAATTCCATTTTGATAACAAAAACCTAGATTACGTTGTCCAGCTGCGTATCCGCCTTCTGCTGATTTCTTATACCACTCAAATGCTCTTCTCTTATCTTTCTGTGTTCCGATTCCATTTTGGTAACAAATACCTAGACCACATTGTCCAGCTGCGTTTCCGCCTTCTGCTGATTTCTTATACCAATCAAATGCTTTTCTTTTATCTTTTTGTGTTCCAATTCCATTTTGATAACATAAACCAAGATATAATTGTCCTCTAGTACATCCAAATTTGGCGGCTTCAGAGTACCATTCAAATGCTTTCTTATCATCTTTCTCTGTCCCGATACCATTACAATAGGCAAAACCAAGACTACATTTTCCCCTAGAATCTTCCCCTCGCTGATTTGATATACCACTGAAATGCTTTTATATGATCTCTTTGTACTCCTTTTCCTTCTTCGTAACATTTTCCAATTAAATATTGTGCCATAGCGTGATTATTGGTTGCTGATTCTTCGAAAATTTTTGCTGCGAGCTCTAAATTTTTTTCTATTATTGAACCAGTATAATAAAAAAATCCTAATAGTGTCCAATATTGAATTTTGTCTTTAGAATTGTATAAAAAAGCACAAACGTCGTCGAAAGAATCTGTATTGTTCTGTTGATAATATGATTCTAGTGATCTGCCAATATTTAAAATTAAGCTGTTTATCTAGCAAATTTAATAAACCATCAACAATAATTTCAGGTGCATTTTTCGAAATTGAAAGTTTTTCATGATAAGATGCTAAATTCCCAGAGTCTTCACAAGATGAATTCGAACTTTCTGATAATTGCTTCGATGACGATACTTCGGATGAAGTTTCAGGTGCGAAAACAGGAGATTCTGGTGGCGACCAAACTATTGCTCTTAACATTTGATTTACTTTATTTATAGTTGGACGATTTTCTGGTGTATTGTCCCGACAGTTTTGATAGAGCTCGACATATTTAGGAGGAGTTCCAAATCATATCATTTCTTTCTCAGGAATATTTTGATGAACATATCCAAATTTATTGGATGGAGGACGACCGCTCGAAATCATCCATAATAGAACGCCAACACTAAAAATATCTGATTTTTCGTCTGATCGAAAATTTGAATCCTTTAAAAAAGCTGGATCAACATAGCTTAGATATAATTGAAATCCTCGTCTGAGAGTTTTGAATAACCCAGGTCTGCGATTTTAATTTCTCCGTTATGAATAAGGATATTATTATGGTTCTTTGATATGAGAAAATTAATAAAAGATTAAACTTCACGTGAAATCGAAAGATATGAATAAGATCCTTACCAAATCTCTATGAATAATGCCTTCATCGTGTATACACTTTACTCCTTTTGCAAGTTGCTGGGCTAAAGCCAACTTGTCAATTCCTTTTAACTTGGTAAAATTGTTTTCCAGATAATCTCGAAGGGTTCTGTCATTAGCATAATTAAAAACCAACATGTATTTTTGAATACTGGGATCTAGTAGAGTCGAAGTTTGTAACATTTATTCGGATTTTACAGATGACGATAATATATTAATTGTAACATTTACCTTCAGTAATCCCATAAAAATCAATAATGTTCGGATGATACTGAACTTGAATGAGAACTTTTAACTAATTTGATGGAGTTTTTTTACATTTTATTATTTGTGGTTTGATTATCAGATAAAGTAATAATTTACCTCCTTAATGAATTCTTTTTGATTTCGTTCATAGTTTTGATTTTTTACATAAAGACCTTATAAAGCTACTGTCAAGTCGTCGTTTAAAGTTGCTTTATATACTTCGCCAAAATGTCCATTTCCAATTACTTTTCTATCTTTAAAAGCGTTAAAATTAAAATATTTGAGGTGTTTTGCTGAAATTGCAGTTCCTATCCATGACACTAAGGAAGATGAAGACATTCTGGTAGATTTAGTTGTTTTTTTTGTTAAGTACGTATATATAGATGTGTTGTTGATATACATGTACATGTACATGTACATGTACCAATATCGATATCTTTATCTGTTATCGTTATACATGTACATGTACTTGACGTGCATTATCGTACATCAAGCACATACGTATACATGTACATGTACATGTTCGTATTGGGCTTACATGTTCAGGAATAACGCCGCATTTTTGAGACAAAGTAGTGAATTAAGGATTAAGTCAACTCGGATAATTTTATATAATTACACGGATTGACTTAATACACATGACCTATATATATCTGTAACACATTCAATGATTTGCTGAATTCTGCATAACACCATCGCTATTAAAACAAATGTCTTGTTTTGTGGTTTGGCCCAGCAAAATTCCTCACCAACGAAAAGAAGTGCCGAATACTCACTAACAATACCACCGGGCATGAAATTAATTGGAAATTGATCGCGACCTGGAGAAATTCGTAACACCAGCGAAACGAAAATGGTGGACAAACTCACTCCTAACAACTAACAACTTACGCACCAAGTTTCCTGAATGTGAGTATCTTGCGTTTCTTTTCATTGGTAGGTGTCTAGTTTTTTTATTTCGTTGGTGCCGTCGCAAATTTCGACTGGTTCCCGGTTTGGTCTTGCACCGGGTCTGTATAGCATCATTGAACGCTCATATCTCTAGAGCAAATGATCAGATCTTTGCGATCTTTAGTCCTATAATTAAGGTAAATATTTTTGCGTTTAGATCAACAAAATTGGGGCAATAATAGTGGAGATATCGATATTGGTATCCAAAGTCGGCGGCGCATGAAAAATCGCAAAGTGACGGACGGATCGTGAGGTAACAATATCTCGTCGATTTGTAATCAGAATTTTGCGAATTCGGCTTCGTTTGTTTCACCTAATCAAGACGAACATTCTTTGTATTCGGACCACAAAATTGGTTGGATATGGGGGAAATATAAGCATCCAAAGTTGACTGATTTTTCTTGGTATTTGTCCGAGACCGCCGCCTATGTTGGTTAGGATTAGTAAGTTCCCTGGGTGTTCAGTTCTTCCTGTTGGTTTCGTCGCGACCGGATCCAGTGTGTTCTTTGATAAGTATTTGATGTTTTTCGTTGATATTTCAGATGAAATGGGTCTTTGGGTGGAAGTGCCTTGAAAAGTCGATTTTAACAATGTCAACAACAATCAAATAAAATTGCTGTCAACCAGAAACACTGTAAAATTGCTCGCCAACTTTATGATTAGTCCTTTTAGTGTGTGTTTCAAAGAATGTTAAAGCTCATTGTCACTGGTGAGCGAACACTATATAGCATTTTATTGACTATTCAATTTTGGTCACATGATTGCAATCCGGATCGGATTATATATCACGTGCAACTACACACTTTTAACGGACCCCCTAAAAAAGAACATACGTAGATTTTTAACCAATATAATCGTCCGGTTAATTAAAGATGGTCTAAAAAATATTGCAGTTATAGCAATAATAATTAGATGAATAAAAGGTGGAAACTTGAAATTTAATTTCAATCAATAGGTTAATTTGTAACATTAAGATGTTATGATAAGGGGCTAAAATTTAGTTTATTTACACTTTATGCACTTGTCAATCCATGAATTAATACATGTGCATGTACATGTGCATGTACATGTACATCGTCGTGCCCCCAGAAGTGATTGTTATCGTTATACATGTACATGTATAATGTACATTTAGTCATTGCTACGTACTGAACTAATTACATGTACATGTACATGTAATTATTGTTCTCAGATATTTTGCATATTTGGACGAATAGAAAACTGTTGTTTAAATAAAACTTGCTTTCGAATTTCATAGAACAAGTTATTGTTTTTTTCTTTCAAAAAGTAATATTTTTTCTTTCTCCATCAAGTTCAAAGCAATTAATATTTTTTAATAATCTTAGGGAATCGACTTTCTTTTCCGGGAAAACTAATTGCAAAATGTCAAAACTTTATGTACAAGCTTTTCCCTCCTATCTTCCAGCAAAATATTTCTTAAAATACAAAAGGAACGGCGATCGCCAACAGAATGCACCAAACGCGTTTTTAATATTTAGAGCATCCATCATAGCATGCATAAAAATGCTAAAGCTTCATATTGGTGATGCTATGGAAATTTCTCACCTTGCAGCCCAAGGCTGGAAAGTACTGCCGGATCATCACAAAGAAGCCTACTGGAAAATTTCGTCCGAATTAAAAGCGTTTTATTCGACTAATAAAGTTTTTCGCGAAAAAGAATATCTAGACGAATCCAACCGAAATTCTAACAATCAGGCTCTAGGTTTTCTCGTGTTGGAGTATCGTCAAGACGAAACCAACCAAAATCATAATCGTTTTTTTGTGGAAGGATATCATCAAGCCGAAAAAAACCACAATCCTAATCATCATAATAATTGTTTTTTAGGAGGATATCAATATCATCAAGTTAAAACAAACCAAAATCCCAATAATCAGTTTGAAGATGAGAAAAATCAAGGCGAAACCAACCAAAATCATAATAATCACTTTGAAATTACGAAGGAATATTTTAATCAGTTTGGTGATTTATTTCCGGAGGAATATTCTTTAAATCAAGTCGAAACAAACCAAAATCCTAATAAGCATCTTGGAGATGAGAAACATCAAGTCGAAACAAACCAAAATCCTAATAAGCATCTTGGAGATGAGAAACATCAAGACGAAACCAACCAAAATCATAATAATCAACTTGAAGATGGGAAACATCAAGACGAAACCAACCAAAATCATAACTGTTTTTTCGTGGAAGGGTATCATCAAGACGAAACCAACCAAAATCATAATAATCATTCTTTCGTGGAGGGATATTATCAAAACGAATCCGACCAACAGTTTGAAGGCTTTTGCCAAAATTTTAATATGGTCTAAAAGACTAATACAGACAAAAAACCTATGTTACATAGATGCTTAATTTTAGTGGTGTCGAGTCACCAATTGCAAATTACAAGCAGCTTCTAATTTTTTAATTTTTATTGCATGTATTAAAGAGTATTGTAATGAATTAAGGCTTCTAGCCTTCAAACAATTATTAATAAATTTTTATATAAACTTCTACATTTAATATATTATCAATCATATGTAATAATACGCTAGAGAGCAATCAAAATTATGCGGACACATGAAATAAAATCACACAACGTTAGATTAATACATGTACCATTAGCAAACCGTTACAGTAATAACGATAACATTAATTCATAATTTTTATTTAATTTTTAACATTCAACAATTATAAACAAATTAGTATTTATATTTTTAAGGATGAATCTAATTGTAACAGTAACAACATCGGAAAATAGGGCCGGATTGGTCCGGGATGAGAAATTTTTATTGGATGAATATATTGTAGCTCACTTAAGAAATGGGACATATAAAAAATTGGCGAGATACGAATATTTCGCCATTGAGAAATTATGCGGAATCAAAAGTAAGTGGATTTTATTCGTTAGAATGATGCTCATCAACTAATGCAGATTTTATTTTCACCTATCCTTTCTCTTATACACTGATAATTTTTTTAAATTTTCTAACATTCTGCATAATATGGCTGACTTATACAAGAGATTAAGGATAGCAAATATAAGTATAAAAGCTCTCATTTCAATTCAAATACTTTTAATCACTCGAAATAATAATTCTAATCACATTTGAAAAATGTTCCAAATCTTTCAAGAAAAATGCTCGCAAATATTACATTATGTGAAGGATATACCATACAGAAAATTTCCACTTTAAAGCAGGTGGATCTTTGTATTAGTCTATGAATTTGCAAAAAAAAGATGATCTAAAAAAACTGGTCATCCACATATTTTAACTAATTGTTATAAAATATATGTCATCTGTGTAGTTAATAACTAAATAGTATTTTACTACTGTAAAAAGCAAAATCAAATTTAAATCTGAACTTGTAATCAACATTTTCATAGAGAGCATATGGCAGATATTCCAAAAAAAAAAATGGTTTATTTTCAAAAATTAAATCAAAAAGCTGATACTAAAAAAAACACTGAAAATGACAAATTGCTTTGTCAAAGTAATATTGAAATTTAATAGTTAGCAATTAGAGATTGATTCTTTGATTTAATAAAAGCAAGTTCAAGCTTTTTGAATCAAATAACTATAAGTAATACTGAATAAAGACTAATAAGCAACTAAAACAATATCAAATCATTTTTATAATAAAGTTTAATAACAGTAATTTGAAAATATATAAATACAAAAAAGTGGAGCAAATAAAAAAAATAAATATTAATCTTTATATTAATATATTAACAAGAATTTATTAAATTTACTATTAGTAAAGAACTAAATAAAGAAGAAATCTTTTGTTAGCAAAATAATATATATTAAAAAGTGCAAACTTAATTTTTTGAGAATAAAATTAATTTACTTGATTAGCAAAAAAAATTGTTGATATTAATAAATTGAATTTAGATCTTTGTATTATATATAGTATAATTTAAAAAATACATAAAAAATTATAAAAATAATTCTATAAATTATAAAAAAATATAAAACTTTTAATGCATATTACATATATTTTAAGAATTATTAAAAATATTTATAAATATATTTAATATATTAAATTAGTAAATAATTATTATTAAAAAGTATTATAATAGTATAATATATTATCAAATAAATTTAATTTATTAATAATTAAAATACTAATAAATATATATTACTTATTTTATATTAATTATATTTATTTTATAATAAAGATTTGTATTTTATCATTTTTTATTCTGTATTTTATTTTTTAAATAAATTATAATATATATGTTTATTATATAATAATTTTTTAAATATTATAAATATTTATTTTAATTTATTTATTAATAAATAATATATAATTATGAAATTATACTCAAGTATTTTTGCAATTTAAATAATATTTGAAATTTTAAATAAATATTATTTTTTAATTTTTTTAAATTATTAGATTTAACAAACAAATTTATTTATTAAAATTCTATAAATTTATATTTAATATATTTAATCAAAAAATAAAATATTTAAAAAAGTTTTTTTAATATTATTTTATTTTTTAAGAATATTTAATATTAATTTTAATTATATATTATATAATAATTTTTTTATTTTTTAAGAATTTTATTAATTTTAAGCTTAAATTATTATAAGTATAATAAAATTATAGAATTTATTATTATTTTTATAATTTTATTAATAAAATTTTATTTTTAATTATTAAAAAAATTTTCTTATAAAAACTTTGAATAAATTAATTAAAAATAATATTAGTAGACAAATTTATTTTTTGAACAATTTAAAAAATAATATTAATAAAAATAAATAAAGTAAAATATTATATATTTATTATAATAAAATTTTTATTAACTAAGAAAATTTTTTTAATTATAATAATATTAATTTAAAGATATAATAAATTATTATATATATTTATTTATATTTAATTATTATTTTATTTAGATTTTTTATTTTTTTTAATTTTATTTTTTATTTAAAATAATATTAAATAATGCAATAATATCAAAATTTATTAATAAAATATTAATTTTTTTCTTTATATAAATATTTTCAATTTTAATAATAATTTATTTTTATATTAAATAATTATTAATACTTTAGAAAATATTATCGAAAATGAAATAATAATATAAGAAGATATAAATTCAACAAAAAATAATTTCAATTTGATATCTAATTCTGATATATATGAAAATAATTATATTATAAAAGAGATATTTTGTAAAAATCTTATTTTTTGTATAATAATAGATAAAATAATGTTCAAATTATGATAAGCCAGAATACATGCTTAATTCTCTTCAATAATTCATAGAAATATAAAAAATTGATAAAAGTGTTATAAATTAAACCAATTCTGAAAGTATATTATATATCTTAGATATTTGTATATTACACTTGGAATTTAATCAAAATTGTTTATATAAAAAAAAGTTAAAATAGTCATATTTAATAGAAGAAAGTTATATTCATTAATAATGATATTTATTTTGTTATAAAGACAAATATTCTTTTAGTTATGACAAAAGTTATATAGAATATATAATCAATATTTATAATCATAATATATAGGTATCTTATATAGAACTCAAAATTTATTTAGAATTTTATATAAGAATAATATATTCATCAAAAAAATACCAATCAATAATTATATTATATTTGTTCTAAATACTTTCAATTAGAAGAAGATCACTTATTTGAATGAAAAGGAAGTAATACAAAATCTTTTTCTTATCATAAAAAATATAATTATGATACTACTGATACACTTAAGTTACTTGTAAAATGAATTTTTGATATTGTTAAATCAAAAAATGAAAAAATAAAAGAACTTTATTATCAGAAATAAGCTTAATTTTTGATAAAACAAAACAAAATAAATTTGAAAATAATATCTTATCTCCAAGTCTATTTCTAATCAAAATAGTATTATATTTAAAAAAAGTAAATATAAAAAATTAACAAGTAAATATACATTGTTACAACTGAAAATTTATATAATTTCTATAATTTATATAATTTCTATAATTTCTATAATTTCCATATTTTTTATAACTTTTATAATTTTGATAATTTATAATAATTATAATAATTATTATCATTTATAACAATTATCGTAATTACTATTATTTACAATAATTACTATAGTTACTATTATTTATATAGTATCTATTATTTATCAACCTATAAAATTAATTATAAATATAATATTTATTAGTGGAAAATATTTATTATAAATAAAGTGCAATTGAAGCTTTGAAAAAGATATCAATTAATCAATACAAAAATCTAGTTAGTTAATAAATTGTTTCTTGTTTATTGTTAATGAAATTTGTACATTAATTGATTGAAAAATAACTTATTTAAATACTTGTATTTATTACATACTATTGGATAATCACCAAGTTGCTATAGAATATCAGTACTGTATTATTATAAAACTGTTCCACATTAAGTAGACAAAATATCTATTGGTAATAGTGAGAGCCTATTCACGAAATAGAAGAAAATGCACTGTGTGATAATCCTGAAGTATACTTATTATGATGAGATCGAGTAACTGTAAAATTACTGTTATCAGACGTTGATTAAATATCAATATTACAGTAACATCTACCAGGAATTTGATTGTAATAACGTATAATTTATTAGGTGATAATTCCAGAAAAATGGATAAAGCTTTGGGATTTGCAACATAAAATTTACATATTAATGTATATGAAAAGAAAAAAGACTTGAAATATTATAATTATTAGAAAAATATAATAATAACTTTTTCAATTTTTCATGAGATTTTTTCAATAAATTTATAAGCTTTTTACAAAAGAAAATAATAACAAAAAGAATATGAAATAGAAGATTTTAATGATACTTATTTAACAAAAATTTTAAGTTTTATAATATCTATAATTCTAATAATAGTATTCCCAGATATTAATATATGGTTAACTCATAGTATAAGTTTTTTATGTTGAAATTCAAATTTATTGAGCTTCTTATATATAATTTTTTGTATAGCAAATATAGTTTTTTATACTCAATGTCATGAACAAAAATTAAAAAAAATTTGAATTAGTGAAATTAAATCTAAAAAAAGATTATAATAAGAAGAAAATATTTGGAATATTTGTATAATTGACAATATCAATTTTAAAAATTATATATTTGCTTTTGGAAATATTTATGATATTATTTGAATAATAAATCATATTATCTTAAGAATGATCTTTTAATTCAAATTATCTATTTTTTTGCATATGATTTTTACTAATACTAATACAAAGACTATTATTTATAATAATAATAATAATAAAAATACTTATTTAAAGTTAAATATCAAATTTTATGAACAATAA